AAATATAGTGTTTTTTACATTAAATAAGTATATTTTTCTATTTGCATTTTCCAACTATTTATAGTAAATAAATATGTAATGGATTGCAGCTGAGGAATTGATTGTTATTTCCTGAATGGTTTGTCATCACATAAATCTTGCCCAGATATGATATCACAGCACATTACGTAACTAAACGCATGGGAAATTGCAACAGTAACAAAATATATATTATATTGATTTCACTTTACTTTATTACCGATATTACCGTTACGTGTGGGAATCACAACTTGCAAATTTGTAATGTGTAAACGAAACATTTCTTAAATTATTTCCATTCATGTGAATAAATTTACATAGATTAAAGTAATATAAATAAAAAAAAATCAAATACATATGTTCATCAGTTTTTACTTTAACACAAACAAGCTAAATTAAATGAGTTTATTTTCTCATTTAGCTCTAATTTCTATAAAAAGCCTAACATCTACCAAACATATTAATTTTGCTAAAAATAGAACAAATTATCTAAATCGACAATCATCAAACATCTCATCCACTTTGATTGCTTAACTTTCTATTACTTATTTTTCTTTTTTCAAATCGATTCATTTTTTTATAATAATTAATATATGTATATTACAAAAAATTGTGTTTCGTGTCCCGAGATTCAAATATCTCTGGACACTGTGGAATATCTCGTAGTTATGTCGTTGTGGTGTCCTAGTGGAGTTTTTAAGGAATGCTAGAGGTGAAGTTGGAGTTTTTATGACAATAATCACTTTATTATTCACTATAAAATTATTAATAACTTCTATGTCTAGGTTCCAGTTTAAGCCAGTTTAGCTAAGTTTGTTACAAGGTTTTTTATGAGTCTAACTAGGACTCGGAAGGACTCTCCTCTAAGACTAAAACTAACTTGGACTAACTAGGACTAGGACTATCAATGACTTGGACTCTGACTCTTTAGGAATCTCTTGTATTACATAAACATCCTATTATATAGTAGTGGTTTAGCATAATGGGAGTACAATATTTGATAAGGGAAGATAGTACCTATTCTTGATGGGACCTTTGAGTTTATGCACCACATGTTGATTAACAATAGTGATTAAGAATAGTCCTTACACAATGATTAGTTATGGGATCTTCCTAAGAAGTATTTGTACCAAGTCATAATGACTTATTTACATTCACATGTATAAAATAATAAGGGCTAACATAATATAAACAATAACGGTTATACATAACAAAATAATAATTTACCTTTTGTTTTAAAATTAAATTTTTCTATTGTGTCATATATATTTTGTTTACTTAAAGATCTCTAAAATTTAACAAATTTACTGTAAAGTATGAAGTAAAAATGTTATATTTTCTTTTATTTTTATGTTCATTAACAATGATTATATTTGCATTAAGTTATACACAAGAGTTATAGAACTGTCGGGATTTCGATATAGCCGGGATTTTGATATACACGGGATTTTGATTGTTGGGATTAAGGTAGTTGGGATATTGACATAGTCGGGATTTCGATAGACGGGATTTCGGTTGTCGGGCTTACAATTGCCACCGAATACAAACCAAGTAAAGTTATGAATATAATGAATTATATTGTTATGGACTGATTAGATAAGAATGCAGAAGAAATAAATATGAAACTGATATAGTTGCAAAATGTATATTACATTTAATTACTAATAATTAAACTGATTACTAAGAATTTATATAAATGTGTTGATAAGCTTTGCATAAATTCACAGAAAATATAAATAAATTCACAAGAAAATATACATTTTGTAAAGAAAACTCTCACAAAACTTAAAATAAATCATTGCTTATCTACTATTTAGAATCTATAAATTTCGTATAAAATTTTCAATTGAAAACTTAATCATTGAGAATATCACTTTACGAATTACAATTTTATTAAAATCAAATCAAATCAAAACAAAATAATTTTTAAAATTTTGATCTTTATATAAATTTTTATTTAGTATTTTTTTATAAAATTTTCAATTGGAAAAAGAGATATCTTTACGAATTACAACTTTATTAAATTTGGAAATAATTAATACGTAAAATTGTGAACTTCATATAATTTAAACATTTTTTTAATTATCATAATTAATTTATTAAAAAAATCATATTATAAATTTCATAATAAAAATAATATAAAGATTATAATCACTTATATTAAAGTATTGTTTGTTTTATACACGAATAAAGAAAATACTTTATATACTTTATATAAATAAAATGAAGGGTAAATGAAACATTGCTCTTGGAATTATGGCTTCGCTTTTGTTCGTGTTTCATGGAACGCAATTAGAATTTCAGTGGAATTAGAATGCGGCCAGTTTCGCTGTTTAGAATTAATTGGTTTTTAGAGAGTGAGATAAAGAGAGACGGAGAGTGAAAACAAAAAGTGGACAAGGATATGTGGGTCTGGTTGGCAGATGTGCGACTACAACGATCAACATCTCCACCCGGTGCATTCCTACACTCATACATCCCTTTAAAAGGCGCAGAACAAGATCCAAATCATAGCTTATATCTACGCATTGTGTATTTACACAATAAATATCTTGCAAAGTAACAAGTACAATATTTGTGTGATATTTGTCTTCTGCAAGTATATATTATGTAATATTAATAGCGCAATAGACATATTTGACAACTTGAACAAGCACTTATTGCATTTGTACCAATTTAAATAATATTTATACAAAGGTACTTTTTCGGTTCGACTAATGCAAGTAACATTAATTTTTCAGCATATAATGATACTGCATCTATTTGACAACTTGGACAAGTAATATATATATAATTTTTGTATCTATATATCGTTACTTGTCCCGTTAAACTTTGCGCAAATACAAATAATTTTCATGATATAATACGCAAAACTTATTAAAAGTCTATTCCAATACATGTATTTGACAACTTTACGAAGTACTTGTGTTATGTGTATCAACTTAAAATAAATTGTAACTATATTTAGTAACCTGTCCCTGTTTGAGTCGTGCAAGTATAAATAGTTCATTGAATAAACAACATGCCCCACTCACTTTATGCACATGACAACTTAGACAAGTACTTGAATTTAGTGATAACTACACAAATTGCTGATAGTGCATCTATTTGACAACTTGAACAAGTAACATATATATAATTTTTGTATCTATATATCGTTACTTGTCCCGTTCAACTTTGCGCAAATACAAGTAATTTTCATGATATAATACGCAAAACTTATTAAAAGTCTATTCCAATATATGCATTTGACAACTTTACGAAGTACTTGTATTATGCGTATCAACTTAAAATAAATTGTAACTATATTTAGTAACCTCTCCCTGTTTGAGTCGCGCAAGTATAAATAGTTTGTAGAGTTGAATAAATAACATGTACGCATTTACTTTATTCAAATGACAACTTAGACAAGTACTTGAATTTAGTGTTAATTACACAAATTGCTTATACTACAGATTAATCAATATTTTAAAATACTTATGAAAATTACAAGATTTAAATAAATAATTGATTGTAATCATTACGCGAAACTTGACAAATTAATAGAAAAAAATGCTAACAAGTTTTATTCAACAATTAAAAATTTGACAAGTAAATTTACTGTAAATTTTACATTAACTTGTCAAATTTCATGACAACTTGATAACTTGAAAAGTACTTGCGATATATTGCAACAATTCAAATAATATTTGTAACAATTACTTTATCTAATTTGACTTTTATTAGTGGAAATTACTTAAAAAAATGCTAATTTTTGTTATACAATTAAAAATTTGACAAGTAAATGTGAAATTTCACGTAAGTTTGACATTAACTTGTCAAATATCATTTGATAACTTGGAAAGTACTTGTGATATATTGCAACAATTCAAATAATATTTGTAACAATTACTTTATCTAATTTGACTTTTATTAGTGGAAATTACTTTAAAAAATGCTAAGTTTTGTTATACAATTAAAAATTTGACAATTTCACGTAAGTTTGACATTAACTTATCAAATTTCATTTGATAACTTCGAAAGTACTTGTGATATATTACAACAATTCAAATAATATGTGTAACAATTACTTCGTCTAATTTGATTTGTATTAGTAGAAATTGCTTAAAAAAAAGTAAGTACTCTACGCGATATTTGACAAGTTATAGAAGTCTATAAGTAATCCAGTTTGAATTGTGTCATTATAGGTAAACTTGTCAAATATCGAGTGGAACGCAAACTTCTTAATGGGTTACAGAATATGTAACTATGGTAACGAAAGGAAAATAAACGCAGCGAAGTGCATCGCGTCTCGTTAATTGCCCTAATTGAATCCGAGAGTCTGGAACTATGAATATTCGTAAATCTTATAAAATCATAGAAGAATGAGGATGAATTTGATGTGGCTCAATGAATATAATATAGCCATGGTAACGGAAGGAAAATAATCGAAGCTGAGTGCACAGTGTGCCTCGTTAATTGCCCTAATTGAATTCGGGAGTCTGACGTAGGTTTCTCGAAGGGTTACAACTATGACATTTCATGACATATAAAGTAAATTGGATTCATTATGTTTATAACCATGGTAATGGAAGAAAAATTGTGGTAGCGTTAATTGGTCCAATTGAAATTCAAAGGCTGACTTTTTCGAGAGGATGACAAAGCTATAAGACTTGATAGATCTTAAAATGTAACATATATAGATATGATAATAAATTTGATACAGTTCAATGTTGATGGTCGTAAGTATAAATAGAGCGATCCAACAAGTGGGTGGTGTTCTTTGAAGGGTCAGAACGTGCGTCAAGTGGATTCCAATTGAATTCAAACATAGCTGCAGTAACGCTACAACAAGACTACATTAATTGTTGTTGTTCTGAGCAACAAAACGGCGTTGTTAGACAACAAAGGTCGTCGTGCACGCGGATGGATGAACGTGGTGCGCACCGCTATAAGTCTCGAAACTCTTGTGACACGAGAGGTTATAACCAAAGAGCACTCACGTTCTTCCCAAATCCAGCTCCTAGAACACCTGCAATCCTACAGAGTCGACACCTTGAAGTCCTCGAAGGTATAACAACAAAGGACACAGAGGGTAGTCCACGCTGACTCGTGTCCAAAACCAAAACAACAAATGCACAGTTGGTACGCGGACTGTCACTGCGACACGCGACGTCGGCTTTGCACGATGAACTGAACACTCGCGCCACGGTGCATGAAAGTGAACGCCGGTCGGAGTGAGTCGGAGGAGGACGCCTAGATGGACGATGGTCGTGCCATCTCTCGAGGATGGTTATACAACAATCGTGGAGCGGAACCGGGGTTCGGTGGTGAACTCTCTAGGTCAAGTTGAATGTCCCCATTGTAAACAAGAGCACTTTAAATAATCGACAGTTTTCATAACAGTTTCTTGCAATTGCTGCAGTCAAATTTCGCGAAACTCATCAATTTTGATGGATAGACACTATGTATCTATGTTTACAAAACAAAATCGAATGCAATACAAGGCACACATTTTTAATTAACAAACTTCTAAACTTTAGAATATTTCCATTTAGAATTTAGAGCAGTGATTCCCAAAGTGGTTTATATCGACCCCCAGGGGCTATGACAACCTGCAAGGGGTCTACGTCAGCGAAAAAAAATTTGGGGGTCCATGAAATGAAAATGGGGGTCCACGATAGTGGATCTCAACCGGTGGCAATCGAAATCCAGACGTTCGAAATCGCGACTGTATCGAAATCCCGATATACGAAATTCCGACTATATCAAAATTCCGACAACCATAATCCCGACTGTATCGAAATCCCGACAGTGTCTTTTATTATATATGACCGCCAAAACAGAACATTAATGAGTTATCTTCGCGGAATAGCTACGTACATGTATCAAAATCCCGACAAGCATAATCCCGTACATATATCGAAATCCCGACTGTATCGAAATCCCGTATCAAAACGCCATCAATCCCGACTATATCGAAATCCCGACTGTATCGAAATCCCGACTGTATCGAAATCCCGACTGTATCGAAATCCCGACAGTGTCTTTTATTATATATGAGTATAGTGTTTCATTATAATTATTTTATTAATTTTTGTATTATAATAAAGATAATTTTAAAAATTCATCCTCGTTTTCTAATACGGGTGAGTATTATAATGTATTATATAAGATTTAAATTATCTAGAATATAACGGGGGGAGTTGAGATAGTTCTATTAATNTACAAATTGGATCATTCGCTTCTATAATAAATTAAATTAAAATTCAATAATATTTTATTACTAACAATATATATATTATTATTGTATTTGTTTTCATTGACTTAATAAAACTTAAAATTAAGAAATATTCTATATTAAAATAAATTTATTGTTATTAATATTATAATTAGTTTCATTGATCTATTAATAATAATTTAAAATAAGAAATATTCTAAATTAAAATTAATTTATTGTTATTAATATTAAATAATAGTAGATGGTGACTGCGTTATTGTATAAATTATAATAATAAAAGACACTGTCGGGATTTCGATACAGTCGGGATATTTATATTAATATTAAATAATAGTAGATGGTGACTGCGTTATTGTATAAATTATAATAATAAAAGACACTGTCGGGATTTCGATACAGTCGGGATTATGGTTGTTGAGATTTTGATATAGTCTGGGATTTCGATACTAGTCGGGATTTCGAATGTCGGGATTTCGAACGTCGGGATTTCAATAGTAAAAGTATTTATGAAGTAAAAAAAATATTATATATGTTTATAAAATTGTGTAAGTTGTAGGATGTAGGCATTCCTTTGTGGTCGCAATACATTTTGAACTTGTAAAAACCTGCACATAATGATTACNCCAGTATCATCTTGTTACAAGCATATGCACAGTCTCAGAGTAAAGATCTTAATAATTATAAAGATGTCCCAATATAAATAATAAATTTACAAAAAAAAATATCTGGTAAGTAGGGGGTCTACCCAAAACCGAAAATCATGGCAAGGGGTCTGCGACACAAACAAGTTTGGGAACCTCTGATTTAGAGCTATAAGTAAATATAAAAGTCCAATATTTACTTAATGTATGTTAGTTTACTTCTTAATTATACATGATTGCATGATTAGTTTATGTTTCTTTGAAAATACAAAATATTTACTTATTCATTAATAAATTTTATTTATAATTTGAGCTGAAAATGCTAGTAATTAGTTAAATAGTAAAAAAACAATCAAATTTATCTGATAATAAAATATTTTTGCAAGAGAATATAAATTAATGAGTAATGATAATTATAAAATATTTATATTTTGTTTAAATATAATAAATTCACAAATTAACACAATAATCATATGAAAAATTAACTTGTCTTTAACTTGTCTCTAAATATTTTAGCAATAATGTTAATTTTTCATTGTAAATACTTATTAATTTTAGTAAATTGTTAATTTCAAGGAAAAAAATCCTATTTATAGGATTTTTAACCCTTCTTTTAAATTAAAATATCGTATTATGAATCAATACGTATTTATTATTGTTTACTTTAGTAATTCAATCAATTTTATAAATTTCCCAAAAAAATGTTATTTTCTTATTTATTAATTAAAGTTGAATAAAATGTATAAATTTCATTGATGCTTTTCCTAATAACTAAATAAAATACATTGTTTTATGGCAATTATTATATTTTTATTAATTTAAAAAAAATGTAAAATTAAATAAAAAATTTACATAATTGAATTTTTTGCAAATTATTATAATAAAATACAGTGGAACCTCGCTTAACGTGTTTAATCCGTTCCAAAATTTCCAGATTTTTACTCGTATAGTGTACGTTATAAACTAAATTACGATAATTCGTTCCATGCCGCAGAAAAAAAAGTGTAACTTGGTCTCGATTTTCATGATTTTGCTTTTCATTTTTATAGTTATTTTTATTCTTTGACTTTTAACATGTCTGAACACAAGTTTGGAAATTTCGTGATCACAAACAACTCTAAGATGCAACTAGAATGACCACTAACTGTTTTTCAATTCACACATGGTGAAGTGAGTTTATATTTGTTTATATTACTTGTATCAGTTCGGGGACTTGGTGGAGGTCTCTTTATTCTTTTAATATTAGTTTATATAAAAAAGCGTACATAGTGTGTTTATATTTATAATAATGTTTGGACTCAATACATTTGTCTTTTTCATTTACAGCAAACACAAATTATAGTCCGCTTTAAAAAAAGATGACAAAGAAAATCGAAGATGGTTGGCCTATTCAATAATACACATAATATTTATACAAAAGTTTTAAAAATGATGTAGAAGCCGCGCAATCCGGGTCTTCTCATCGTCACTCGTTAAGCGAGTCATTTGACAACTTGAACAAGTAATATACATATTTTTTGTATCTATATATCGTTACTTGTTCCGTTCAAATTTGCGCAAATACAAAAGATGTTCATGATATAATACACAAAACTTATTGAAAGTCTATTTCAATACATGTATTTGACAACTTTACGAAGTACTTGTGTTATGTGTATCAACTTAAAATTAATTGTAACTATATTTAGTAACCTGTTTATGTTTGAGTCGTACAAGTATAAATAGTTTGTATAGACAACTTAGACAAATACTTGAGTGTTAATTACACAAATTGCTTATACTATAGATTAATCGATATTTGATAATACTTTTGAAAAGTAACTAATTAATATAAATAATTGATTAACACCAGCATAAACAGTTTTGGCAAGTTGTACTTATTACGCGAAACTTGATAAAGTAATTGAAAAAAAAAGGCTAACACATAATATATGTACAAAAGTTTTAAAAATGATGTAGAATGCCCTCAATTCGGGTCTTCTCATCGTCACTCGTTAAGCGAGTCATTTTTCTTACAATTCATTTTGCTCGTTAAGCGAGGTTCCACTGTATACAAAATATTATAATTATGAAAAGTAATTTTTAAAAAAGTATTAAAATAATATTTGTATAATTCTTTATATAAAATTATTTTTCAGTTTTAATTACCAAAGATTTCATATTTAAAATACTTTACGTCAAAACAATTTTAATATAGAAATATCACCTCATACATTCTTCCACACTATAAAAGTTAAAACATAATTTTTAAAATTTCTTTTAAATTTACAAGTAAAAACATGTCGTGTCCCATGGATGGTTTTTTGGACACTGTGGGATATCTTCTTCTGTTGTCGTTGTGGAGTCTCAGTTGTTGGGAATTTAATGAAATTCGTTTGGTTTTACATAACTTTATTTGTTACTTGATATATTTAAGATTCATCTGAGACTATGCTCATCATATTAAGATTCTTATAAGACTATGTTCATCTTTAAAGGTGAAACTACTTCTAAATACTTATTGTACTTACAAAGTTAATTCTTATTTATACGGACGGGGTGGGAGTTTCAGGAGTACAGACATGGTTTTGAGAAGACTCTCCGGTTCAGGTTACTGTTCTCCGTGGGATCTGTCTATTCTGCAGTTTGGTTATCAGTTGAAAATACGAAAAACGTTGTAAACGGTCACTGCCTTTGTCCTCATTGTCCTCAATGGTACCCAAACTTAATGGTTGGACACAACAAACATCATATTTATAAAATGTGTATGTTTGGATTATAAAATGCAAAGATTAAACAGCGTAATAGAAATTTCGTAGGTATAATAAGAATAAATTTTCGTAATTTAAATCATATTCAAAAAAAAATTTTTTCATTTGATTGCAAAATCGAAGAGGAAATAATGAAACCATAATCATTGCTTCTAAATCGCTGATATTATACAACGTATAGTTGCAAAGATTTATTGGCTATTTCCGGTAACGTGGAGGAAACGGCGGAAATTGTAGTCGCACTGCGTCGACATGGAATTACAATGATTATCTCTTATTGTAAACAGTCGTTACGTAACATAGCATTTTCAAAACCAAGGCTCTCTACATAAAAAAGCCATCTACAATAGCTAATTAAAAAAAATCATCAATTAACAACTGGATTACTTGATACGGGTCTAAATCCCGACTATCAGAATCTCGACAACCACAATCCCGACTATATCAAAATCCCGACTGTATCAAAATCCCGATTATATCAAAAAAAATTACAAGAACATTTTTAAATTATATCGGAGCGTAGTCACCTGGTGCTACACTTTTATTATTAATAACAATAAATTATTATTAATTTATTTGATTTTGTTGAATTATTCATAATAAACCTTAACATTGTGAAATAATCTCAAATACAATTAGATTATTAATTGTTATTATTTATTATTAATAACAATCTAAAAGTCACTATGCACTGCAATAATTTAAAAATGTTATTGAAGACATTTTCGATATAGTCGGGATTTTGATACAGTCGGGGTTATGGTTGTAGGTACTTTAATATAGTCGAGATTTTGATATAGTCGAGATTGTGGTAGTCGGGAATGTGATTGAGGGTATTTCGGTTGTTGGGCTTGTGATTGCCACCGACTTGAAATAATTAGTAACATTAAATTCTAAAGTTTAGAATAAAATCTCCTAAAAAAAGAACAAAAAAAAAAGTGAAAGTATACCTAGGCTGTGCTATAGACCAGCGGTCCCCCAACCTTTTTGAACTCACGGACCAATAAACTCCAAATATTGAATCTCGCAGACCACAAAACTACAAAAAATTAAATCTCGTAGACCTCTACAAGAACTTTTTTTTAAATAAGATTCTAAATTTATTTAATTTGGGCTTTTTGTCAAAATGCAACTTAATAATGCGAAAATTGCAAAAATAAATGACTTCAGAATATAATAGAAACCGGTGGCAAACCCGACAACCGAAATCCCGAGTGTATCGAAATTCCGATCTATCGGTTGTCGGGCTTGCGATATAGACCCAATGAAACATAAGTAAGCTTTCGTCAATGGAAAGCCCATTTGATCCGCGAACCGGAAGTTGGGACCACTGTTATACGCAACCAGACATGCACTTAAGCAAATTATATAAAAAAAATACCTACTTTGTATTCTAGGCAACCAGACATACATGTTTCAAAACTGTAAAATACGAAAAGAACGCAATTGCTCAATCCTTAACTGATTTGAAGTACTTCTTATTCGAATTAAATTCTGTTTCTAGAACTATGTCCAATTGAATAATGAATGAAAGTTCTATTAAAACCATATAGACTATTCACATACTTCTACTTTATTCCCACTGAAAATATAGTAACCTTCTTTTTAACAATTTCCCTGAATTATCGTGAAACCTAAGGCACATATAAATCGAGAGAAGCTGCGCACATTCAATTTACAAAATAGAACATGTAAATCAGAAACAAAATAAACACACCGATTATTATTAAAAATTACATAAAGAAAAAAAAAATGCACCAAGATTCTTTATTTTAAAAAAATTACATCACAATATATATAGTTATTATATATATATTTTAATAATTAAATAACAATACGTTTTCAAATTATCTTTCTTTGTTACTTAATTTCTTGCTTTTTTTTAATGTCTTGAGGTTAATTTCTGTTATATTACTTTCAAGCCTGAAAGAAAATAATCTTAAAGAGTATAAGATTAGACCATGATTTGTATGGAATATGATTATTATTATTTATGCGAATTGGATAAACGAGTTTTTCGTTTTTGCTTATTTTTTCATAGATGGGACAAAAAAAGAAATTGGGTTTAAGAAGAATAAAACAAAAATCCTAACTACAAGAATAAAAAATAATAATATGTATATTTATATATTTACACGACACACAAAATAATGGGGAACGATGAGTTTCTGTACAAAGGGGGGAAGATGGGATGATGAAAAAAATAATAATATATGATTGGAACGAAAAGTACAAAAAATAATAATAATTAAATTAATGGGGGGGAAATACAAAGTTTCTCGTCACTAAGAATATTATTAAAATATTTACCATTTATTTATTATTACAATTATCGGTTAATCCATGTGAGAAAAAAAAAATGAAAAGAAAAGAGAAAAATAAAAATAAAGAAAAATATTATTATCACAGCATTTTTTTTTGTATTTTTCTTTTAATATGTACTAAGGCTGTAGCTTTTGTTTTGTTTCATTTATTTTTAAACTTTTCTTGTAACTATTCGACTTGCACCAAAAAAGAGAAGAAAAACAAAAATAAAGTCTAATTTAAAAGAGAAAATAATCATAATTAATAGAAACGAAAACTGTATTTCGCTATTATCTTCTTTTTATTTTGTGTATTTGTTTTTGCTTTTTTACTCTCTCTCTCTCTCGCTTGCTCTTATATAATATTATACACATGTATTTACAAAAATTCGCCGTTTACTTGTTTATTATTTGTAATTAATTTAAACTGTTTTAAATTATTTGTTATCGATAACAGAACGTAACGAAAAGA